TAAACAAAGCATTCATCATCTCTTTTAATATTTTATTTTTCTTTCTGCAATACCATTAGATTAGGAAGAATAAGGAGGTGTTTTCTCATGAATAATACCTTCCTTTTCACAAAAATTATTTAATAAAACATATTCTCCACCTCTATTAGATCTAACTTTTTTAATCTTTTATTTAATTGATTCTCAACTTCTTCTTTATACAAAAGAAATTTTTTAAGAGTTTCATCTTTATTTCTTAACAAGTATACTATGGTATATCTTGAAAAAACATAAATAAAAATGATATAATATTTTTTACCACCTCTAGTCATTGTTTGTTTCAAATTAATTGTATAACCTTTACTAGCATAACCTAGTCTAGCATGTTACAAATTAAAGGAATCAATCATGTAAATAGGAATATACTCAAAAGATGCAATATTATTCATTTTATCAATATTCAAAACAAACAATCTCTGATTACAATACCCTTTCCTCACAAATATATTTTTCTTTGTCATTACGATCTTGTTAGATTCAAATGACACTTTAACCCTAGCTTCCCCAAACAGAGTGAGTAAAACTAAGTTTCTTCTAATTTTAGGCACATGCAGAATATCATTTAGAATTAGAGTCTTTTTTGATGTGAGCTTTAAGACATTGTCCCTTTTGCTTGAACTTTGGCAGTTAGTGAATCAGTAAGGTAAACACGGTCTTGCCCTTCCTTTACAAGATCATAAGAGGTAAACATTTCTCGATTAGCACATATATGCCTGTAGCCCCAGAGTCTACCATTAATTTCTTTACATCGGAAATTAAGAGAGCTGAGAAACCATTGCAGCAAGATGTCATCATCTCGTTGTACTAAATTTACATTTGGCTTTCGAGGTTTATCACGATTTGCTCTCTTCCTCCACCGTGCTGCATAGTGTCTTAGTTTATCACAAACAAAACAGTCTCCTTTTTTCTTGAAAGAGGGGTTAGAAGTACTGGGTTTATAATCAGACTTCTTATTCTTTTTATTATCTTTGATTTTAGGGTTATACCTCTTGTTGTGAGGCTTTGTCTCCATTAAATTGGCTTTGAATGTTATTTCTCTAGTTCGAGCTACACGCAATGCCTTACAGTTGGTGTCTTTAATTGTGATGTGAGTAATTAGGTCAGTCAAGAACAATTGCTTCTGTTTATATTTTAGCTGTTATTTATAATCATTCCACAATTCTAGCATCTTCTTAATAAGAATTTTGACAACAAACTCATTTAGGAGGTTGCTATTCTCTACATGAAGCTCCTCCAACAGCTTGTGATAGTCATTAATCTTCTCCTTCACATCTTTATTCTCAATCATCTCCCATCTATAGTAGTTTCCTAGAATGAACTTTTACTTACCAGCATCCTCAGTAGTATATCTTGTCATTGGACTCCCATATCTTACAAGCTTCCTTATAAATGCAGTAGACATTGAACAAATCATTAGATAAAGTACTAATGATAGTGTGTTGGCATACCTTGTTTGCATGAGTCCATGCAACTCTTTAGGCTTAGTTAGTATTAGCAACGGGCTCGGGTTGAGTAAGAACATCAGCTACACCATGCGTATCAAGAATGGTAAAGACTCGTTTCTGCTAATCTTTGAAATTCTTGCCATCAAAGACTTCTATCTTTGAAATGTTTGAGAATGGCCTTGGTAAGGGTATGACAGCAACAGTTACGATGAACTGATCTCCATTAGAACCACCAAGCGCATCCTTGGGGATGACATTCTCAATATTAGATGCTACTAGTTCTTAAGATTGTTGGTAGCAGATAGGAAAGTAGAAGCTGCTTGAGTCATGCTAAAAGATACTATCCTTAAGAACTATTTCGGCACACTAGGATAAACTGACAGTTTTCTAGGATTAAACAAGTACGTCCTACACAAGCAAGGCAATAGAATCTTAGCATTAACAGAAAAAAAACTCAGATAAATGAACACATCATAGTCAAGGTAGATGAGGGAAGAAGTGGCTTGAAAGCTTAAGACCCGGCACCTCATTTTACCTACACTCATGCCTATATATAGGCCGAAACCATAGACATGAACGTTGGGCTCATAATCACCGAATTAAAAACCATTAAGCTTCTGTTACACAAACATAAAATGCCATTAACTAAATGTCTGGAGTCGTTAGGACAAACATGTAATGGAAATTTATTAACAAAATCCATTTAAGAATTTTGGTTAAAGGCAGAAAACGTCTAAGGCCTAAATTCAAATTTCAAATAGCTAAAAATCAAGTTTTTTTGGTAAGCTAATTTTAAATAAACAATTACCTATTTTTCGCAAAAATAATTCGATAAAAGAAACCCAATGCTTGTTTAACTTGCGCGTAGGGGGTGAATCAAATGTTTTCGGCTGTAATTGTCCTGAGTTGGCCTATTTCATGTGCGTAAGCACACTTCTCCTCCAAGCCCATTTTACTAACCCATTTCTTTTCTTAATATTTATATAGTAGGAGCTCTCTTCATTTAGGCAATGTAGGATTTCTCCTTTTGACACACACACATACACAATTATTACAAGGCTCATTTGGGCTAAGCCCAAATAAGCTCGGTTCACTCAATTAATCAACTCTAGAGGAATGGTCAATGATAGCAGTAATGGAAGTTTGGAGGGTGACAGTTCAAAGAGGGAGAAGGAGGATGGAAGAAGTAAGAGAAGGGAAAATGATATGAAAAGAAGACTTGGGGGTAAAGGGGAGGTAAACTTCCCAACTTTAAGTCCTTGAGCTACCACGTTGGTCAGTTTCATAAAAAATCGACATGGTAACAAGTTTACACATCAGTTTATTGTAATTGATGTGGAAACTAGTGATTTTTTTTTAATTTTTCAAATCGACATGACAAGTTGCTTAATTTTTTTTCCTATCAAATTCTTACAATTGACATTGGTTTTGCCCTAAATTGACATGAAATGTGTTCCATATAATTATAAAAATATTATTACCTTTTTTCCTTCATATTTTAACAAATCAATACAAAAAGTTGAAGTGAAAAGTCTTTTATATTGAAGTAGATTTCTCCAATCCACTCTAAAAATAACTAATTCTAATTTGATTGGAAAGAATCCATAAATTTCTTTATAAAAAGTGCAAGAGCTTAAATACTTACTCTTTCTATTCAATATTATAAGACACTTTTAATTAAATTAAACTCTAATGAGCTAGTTAATTATCTCTAAAATTACATTAGTTAATTGTCTCTAAAATTACTCCCTCTTTCCATGTTTACTTTTATTTAATATGATATATCAATTAAAAAACCTTATTAATTACATGCCTTAGTTAAGGATATTTTTGAAAAAACATCATTAATTACATTTTAAAAAATCTAAAATACTTTATATTTTTAAACATTTAACCTAAAAAAATGCCACATATTTTTTAACGAAAGAAGTAATTGTTTTTATGAAAAAATAGCTTTCAAATAAACCTAATATTGCATTTAAAAAGATGGGAAAATGACAAAAAACAAAAAAAACTCCGCAGACCTAAAATTAAGTATTGTGAAATGTGATAACTATTATTTATCCTTAGAGATTTATCTAACATTTTGATTTTTAATAAAATGACATATTTTCTCTCAATAACTGTTATAGAAAATGACTAATTTAGTTGTGTTATTGATTAAAATATAATAAAGAATGTTTACTTTCTTTTTGCAATTTTATTTATCAATTAAGTGTAATTGAAGTGGTTATTTTCAAAAAAATTGTAGTCAATTTCAGAAATGAAGTAGTTAATTTTTAATCCATTTATAATTACCAATTTATAGAAAAAAAGTAGTCATAATTTCTATTCTAATCTAGTTAATAACACAGCCAAAGTAATTATTTCCTATAATAGTCATTGAGGATAAATATATAATATTATTAAAAATTAAAGTGTCAAACAAGTCTCAAGAAACTAAATAATAATTATCACATTTTACAATATTTAACTATATTTATATATTTTGGGGGGTTTTTTTTTCATATTCCCAAAAAGATTAATAATTTAATTTTAAAAAATGATTTATTGTAAAAAATTATTTAACTAATAATTACAATACCATAATATAATAATTAGATTAGATAGATCATCTTATATTATTATTGTTATTAGAAATAAAATTATAATAAAAAATTATAATTATAATTATAATATAATATAATATTATACACAAAGAAATATATTTGCAAGTCTTTATAATTTTTTTAATTTTGAATTAGATCGCTATAATTTATTTTATTTTAATTAATTCTTATAATTTGATTAATTAAAATTTTTAACCCCTAAAAAATTAAATCCTTAGATTTTTCTTTAAAAAAAAAATTAAGAACTTTTATATTTTTAAGTTAATTATATAATTTTTATAACTCAAAATTTATATAATTAAATTACATTTTAAATATTTTTTATTTTATAGAATTTCATACAAAATAATAAACAATGTAAATAGTGTGTTAAATCAAATTTATTTTTTTATTTTAACTAAAAGTATTAAATTAAAATTTACTTTTTTTATTTAAAAATCTAAGATATTTTGAACTAAATTTCATCTTAATAAAATAGTTATTTATCTTCAAATTAACCTTATTTTTTTATATTACCTTTTATTTAATAGGGTATTTAATTTTAAAATAAATATAAATTTATTTATTTAATAAGTATAGTTTTAGAAAAAAATAATGATTATATTTTAAAAGATTAACAATATTTTATATTTTTTAACATTTAACCTCTCGAAAATACATTACATTTTTTAATAAGGAAGTACATAAATTCTAAAAGTATTTTTATTTGAAAATTTGAAAATTTATTATTAATTTTGATTAACATATTTAATATATCAAATTATAAGAATTTGATTAAATAAAATAAACTATAAATTATAAAAACGTGACCCAATTCGAAGTTAAAAAAAATTATGAAATTAATTTTTTCAATTATCCTATAAATTATTGAATAAAGATGGACTTCAACAATGAGGGAAATGCTCACTGCAAGAAGGAAAAGGTGTAGCACGAACGAACGAGGCGCGCTTCAATTGGTTGCCACGCCCCAAAACCCTCACATCCTTAAACCCTCTTCACTTCTGTTCTGTTGGACAGCATGTTGATAGAAGTCCGAGAAGTAACGGATAGATTCACCGGACGAAGCCATTGACACTTTCTCCGAGAAATGCGTCTTCTCTATCAACACAGGCTCCTTCTTAGACTTCCTCTCTTGTCCTCAAATATCCGCCTCATGAGCACCAGAAGCTTGCTGCATTTCCCAGCTTTTCCAAAGCGGACGACTTTTTCATCTCAGAGGGACCTTCTTCACTCCCAGAGGCTCCTGTTTTGCCTAAAACCTAGTTCGAGTATTCGTCCGTTATCACTCAGGACTAATGGTTATTCTTATGTTTCTGGCTCTGAAGTCCGTAGGCCAGGTAAGGTCATCTTGACGTTTACTTTCCATTGAGAAGCCTGGAGGCTGTATATGAATCTTTTGATTACTGACATTTACATTTACATTCTGAAGATTTTCTGGAGGAGAACCCAGAGGAGGAAATGTCGAGGACGCATTTCGAGATTTTGAAAATGAAGTTGCAGGAGCTTGGGATAGATGCTGATTTATGCGGACCGGGGCAATACAACCGCTTGCTTTGTCCAAATGTATTGTTGGTTTTCTTTCTCTATTTTCAGTCTTTTGTAAACTGCAGAAACTGTTCATGTGGTGATTATTGACTGTTTGGTAGTATAATATGAATCAGTCTGTTCTATTATCCTTTAAGAAGTTTATCTTGATTTCTTGCGGTCACAGCTTTGCTTTTATTTATTTATTTGTTATTTATTTTATAGTTTATTGTTGGCCCGTTGGAAAGCACTTTAACTCGAAAACATCTGTCCCAGTCACAGCCTGCGGAGTCCTCAGACCTAGCTCCAAGGGGCATCTAGTTTTAGGATTTGGTCTCAATTTGATAGATTCTTTTTCTTCTCATGGCGTGCTCAAAAGTTGATATTTTGGGTTATGGATTTGTCTAAAGTTTGTACTGGAAGAGTAGTGAGGAGCAAAGTTTTTCTCCTTTCATTTAAGCATTTAAAAGATTAAAAGATTTTATTAGTTGAGTTGATGTAATTATACAAGAAAGTAACTTAATGAGTCAGAAGTGAGTGAATGTAATTATATGGAAAAGTAACTTAATGAGTCAGAAACAAAGATACTTTTGTTGTTCTGGTAAAAAATGACATTCCCCTATTTATCAAAATATAGACAAAACAAAAGAAAATGTTGGTGTTTGAAATTGTTCTAAGACTATCCTTTAATGGTTGGTCGCTTCATAGAAAGGGCTTTTATTGCTTACTTAATACAATTTAATTGACTTAGATTCTTTGTTGGCATTTTTGATCTTAATCTTCTTTCCTAAAAAGTCCATGAAGATTTGGGCTACAAAATAGGACTGGCCCACCCAACTTTCATACACTCATGCCATTCATCTCAATTTCTCAATGAGGTTTGAAAGTGACTGTTTGTGTTCTATTTTTGATTTGCATTTTCATACTCTTATTTTTTGTCTGTTAGTGCCAAGGTGGTGATTCAGAAGAAATGAGCTTATCTCTTTTTATCACACAAGACGGGTCTGTTGCTAGTCATTTTCTTCATCAAATTATTCCTTTTTTTGGGTATCAAATGGATTATTTTTCTCCTGCATTTAATGATGGAAATATCTGAGTTATTCAGAGGGGCTGCTTTATGGATGTGTTTCCGAGCAAAATGTGGTTGGAAGGGCAGCACAAAGGTTAGACATTTTTTCAGTTTTTCAGTTTTCCATTTACCCCAGAGCACAGATTTGGATGCATGTCAGCTTCTGTTTCTATTGTAGGCAGTTGCTGGTGGCCAGTCATTGAAGCACATGCCCAAAACTAAGAAGAAGAGAGAACTTTCTGAGTCAGAATTGATGCTAGAACCCCTTTGTGATGAGGTTATTAAATTTCATGTTTTCTATTTTTTTCCCACTACATTGAACTTTATAGGTGCTATTGATCTTGATTGTGCAATCACTGATTCAATACTATCAGTTACTCAGTTATCTATTGACCACTGCTTAATTTAGTTTTATACAGCTGAGTGCATTATTACTTTTTTTTTTTTTTAACACCCAATGCTTTAAGAGAGGAGCATAAGACATCCTCCAAAATGAACTATAAAAATAGTAGCGTAAAAAGTTCCATGGGTAAAATAACGCAGCAAAACTACAATCTCTTTTCCAATCCAAGATAACATAGCCATTAAATAAACTATGAACAGATTGCACACTGAGGATATGAGCACCATTCTTTTGCTCCATCTATCCAAAGATAAAGGAACTGTTGCATTGTTCTTTAATAGAACTTGGTTATTGATTTTTTTTTAAACTGTTCTAACTTGAGCGACTCAGATGTTATTATTGATGTTCTTGATCTTATGAGCTTCTTAAAAATGCAAAGAAATTTTAGAATTTTTCATTAATATCTGAGTGAATGTCACATAAGAACTGAAACTTTGTATGAAAACCTATTTTTGATCTTAAATATTTATACCAATCAATAAGTTGAACTACAGCCATCAATGTTGATTAGACATGTTAAAAGAGCCAACCTATTGCCGGTCATGGATTAAATAGGTTAGAGCATAAAACCACCTTGGTGATTTGGGTTGAAAATTTGTACTTGGCTTGTTAGGTGGGTTGGGAAAAGGAACCCATAATTCAATGTTTAATATCGTAATGTCTGATTATAAAAGAATATCACCAAAAAAATTTCCATTGTCTTAAATCATTCAGAAAGTAATAAGTCATCTACAGTAATAGAACGCAAAGAAGACAATGATTCTTGTCTTATACATTTTCTACAATGGTTTCATTGTCAACACTAATATCTCCATCTTCACTCCGGAGATCTGCATCTTCCACAATACAGCATAAATGGTAATTATATTAATAATGATTAAAATCAACAAAGAAGTAGAAAATCAAGAATAATTGTCATATGTAATTTGTAAATAAATAAAGATAGTTAATTAGTTAGTTAAGATTGTTGGGGGAATAAAGACAAGTCAAGTTAGCATCTATATATAGGGAGGATGTGTAAACCTTAGACTGTACTTAATGAATAAATCGGAGTACTCTTCAGAATTTTCTCCTCTCTGTTTTCTCTATTCCTATTTCTCTTCTTTCTCCTCTCTTTCTACCACTACACATTAGTGGTATTAGAGCTGATGGTTTTTGGCCAATATTTATGCCAGAAACTCCTTCTCAAAGCAACCAACACAATGTGGAAGAATAGTTTGATGATAGTTTTCACGCCATTGAGCAAGAATCAAGGAAGGTGGCCTTTTTACCTTGTGTTGTTCAAGCATTGTTTGCCAAAGTTGGAATCTTGGTTTGGGAGAAAGCAAAGTTTGCAAACGAGGGAGGCAGCCACTATGGAAACATGCATGGCCGTTAGAGAAATGAGAATGGTTAGCCAAGGGTATTGTGATTATCGGCCTCCAATAAAATTTCCAAAAATGGAATTTTAGCGCTTTCAGTCGGTAAATGTGTTGGGTTGGATTTTAAAATGTAAAAGGTGGTTCTAGGTGGATGAAACTCTATGGGAATGGAAAGTCATGATGGGCAGCCTACATCTGGTTGCAAAGGCTTTTTCTTGGTATCAAGCATGGGAGTAGACATTAGAAGGAGAGCGTTTGACTTGGGGCGACTACATAGAAGCATTGAAGGCTTGTGTCAAACCATCTTATGAGTCTCTAATGGAATATTTGATGAGGCTTTGTTAGACGGGGTCATTGGAGGAGTTTGACGATGCCTTTGACACTCTTTTCTGTAAGTTGCAACTTTCATAGGATTATCTCATGTAGATGTATTCGGTGGGTTTGGATGAGGAGTTTGTGGTTAAGTTTGAATCTTGAAGCCTCATACATTGTAGGAAGTGAGGGCAATAATGAAGATGCATGAGATTGATTGACAGAAGGTGTTTGAAGCTATGTAGATAACAAGGTCGATGGATTTGGGCTTCATGGCTGATACCCATGTGTTGAGTGGCCTAGAAAGGTGGAGGGCTGCGGAGACTCCATTTGGAGGTGTGCCCCTATAGAGCAGGGTTAAGACATTCATCCTCCAAGATTAATGCTCTTTCTCCTTCTTATAGGCCTGCTGCCTTTGTTTCTTCTTTGGTAGGCTCTATTCCCTTGATACGAGTAGCACGAAGGGTGAGCCTAGAAGAAATGGAAGAATTACGGGCAAAGAATTTATGTTTTCATTGCTATAAACCATTCTTGAAGGGTCACAGCTGTCCAGAGAGCAGAAAATGCAATTGCTACTCATTGAACTTCATTTTGAATCTAAAGAAGTGAACAAAGATGATACAGGGCAGATGTCGAAAGTTCACATAAGTCTTGGTGAAGTGGAAGGATCTCTTGGATGAAGAAGTTAGTTGGATTTCATTTTTTTTTTTAACTATAGCAACAACATCTAGGTTTCATTGTGACAGCCCCTTGAAGTCAAGGGTTTTTTTGAAAGGGAGGAGGGGATATTGAAATGCAATTTGTAAATAAATCAAGATAGTTAGTCTGTCAGTCAAGATTGTTAGAGGAATAAATATAAGTCAGGTTAGCATCTATGTATAGGGAGGATGTGTAAACTTGAGACTATGCTTAATGAATAAATCAGAGTGCTCTTTAGAATTTTCTCTATTTCTATTTCTCTTCTACCTCCTCCTCTCTTTCTACCACTACACATCAAATTGTGAAAAGAGTAAAGACTAATGTCATAATGTTCAAAATCATGCAGCCAATTGCTCTTAAAAAATGCATTCAATTGCAAGTGTGGATAAGTTGGAGGAAATTTTATTCTTATTGTTTGAATTTTACTGTTTTAGAAGTATAAAGTCAATACATGTATACAAAAGTAATCCATCTATCAAAGGAAACAAAAATTTTGGACAACAAAGGAAATAATGGCTAGCCCCTAAGAGTATGCTTTAAACAATTTGCTAAATTCTTACACCCTAAAGACTAGGGATCTCAACAAAGATTTTTTTTTTTTGTTTAAACTTTGGGCCAACAACAACAACAAGCTTTATCTCATTAAATGAGGTTGGCTATATAGATTGTATGATGCCATTGTGCTCTATCATTAATTAAGCTTTTGGAAATATTATTAATCAAGAGGTCTCTTTTAACAATTTCCATGAGTGTTTTTTTTGGTCTTCCTCTACTCCTTTTTATAGGGCTCAAGATTATCCCTTTTACTCTCCTCATTGGTACCTCCCACGGCCTTATTTGTATTTGTCCAAACCATCTCAAACGATTTTCTACTATTTTTTTCTTAATAGATGTCAGGCCCACCTTTTCTTGTGTATGCTTATTTTGGATTCTATCCTATCACAAATAACATCCTTTAATTTTGGGCCAACACAAATAAGATTTTCTACTATTTGGGTTATCTTTAATTTCTTTACTTTTATGCATAATATCATAAAGTATTAACATATAATTATATTAGAATACTGATGTATTATAATGTGTTAAATGGGCCAACAACAATTTCATGGGTTGGCTTGTTTGACTTATGAGTTTTATAAGTCAAGTTAATTTGATCCTCCTAAATAGTTTTCCAATAAATCCTCAACATTAACCCCCTAAATTGGTGGGTTAAACAGGTCAACTTGGAGGGTTCAGGTCGTGTTGTTGGCTCTAAGGTGAAGCTTAAGTACTAGGAAAATATTGTGGATGTGGCATGGCATACAAGTAAATCTGTAGATGCTGCATGTTGTTTTCCTCATAATCTTGGCCAAGCTTATAGATGTATCATTCATTTAGAGGGCCTCTTAAAGGGAAATGGATTTTGTTTCCTTTGTATAGAAAACAATATGTGCAAAGGCTAGATTACTACTACTATTTTAAATATAAACATATATTTTTGCAATGGCTTTTTTTTTTTTTTTGGAAGGAGATGAGGGGCATTACTCATCTACTAAATCACATTTTTCCTTCCATTTTATATTGTTTTGTATACTAAATGAACCCTTAGATGTTTGGGATTCATTGTTCTACACTTACATATTACGTGATGCAAAATGACAATTCTAATGTATTAATTAGTAAATTACATAAAGTGTGAGCAATATATTGCATAGGCTATTAATGTTATGTTTGGTCTGTGTTTGTGTATTACATAAGTATCCTTCATAGTTGCTTCTGTTAGTATCTTTTTTTTTTTTAGCGTGTGTAGAATATTGATTATATCATATTAGTTTGTTTCCTTGCTATATGGTGAACACAACTTTAATTTGTTTTCCCTCTTTCAGCTGATTGCTTATTTCGCAGAACGTTTGATTTCAAAGGAGACTCTACTGAGAAATGGTGTTAAGCAGAGAATGTATACAGATCAGGTGAACTTTCTGGATATTTATATGTGGGTAAAATGTATTCCTCCTGGGCATCATTATTTAATTGATGAAGTAATCCTGGTGGTTAGGAAAATTTCTTTCATTATTACAGACTGACAGAGTCAAAGCTCATAAGATTGGAAGTCTTTTTTCCTCCCTTACAAAATTCTTCACGGCATTCTTCCAATAGTTGTTTATTTTTTTAGATTTCTGCTGGAGCACAACACCAGTTCAGATTCCAAGAGTTTATTCCTTCAAAATTCTGAAGGATCATGCATACTACCAACTCATTTTCAACTATTTGAAGAAAAGAAAGAAAAATAAGTAAATAGAGAATGCAATGAAATACTAACCTCAAGTCTGTGTGGAAAGTTGAAAGCGTTATTCCTATCAATTAGCCAAGCAAGGATTCAACTATAACAAGACAATTTTAAAATGCCAATGACAATGGAAATGAGATATATCTTCTCATTTTTTTTAGTCTAGCTATTGGTCCATCCCCATTCTTTTACTTTTTTACAATCTATTAACCTGCATGATTACTTATTTTTGCAATATACTTGTGCAGATTGTTATTGCGTTTCCATATTATCGTCGAGGAGATCTTGTGAGTTGCAAGTATCGGGACATCAACAAGAAATTTTGGCAGGTATATGCAACTGTGGATTCTGAACATGTTAACACTGGGTGGTAAAATTTATCTGCTAGGAATTTTTCTTTTTGAATTGAAAGAATCAGATGCTGAAAGGTGATGATTCAATCTGGAACATGTGTCCTATTTAGATGTCATTTAGACTTCAGGACTGTTTTGCTGAAAGCAGCCTGAAGCTTCTGCCTATGGTCAGATTGTAGTTAAAGCTTTTTCTAGAGACTGATATTTGCACCTTGCCTGGATTAACTAGTTCAATTGTGCTATGAGGAGTTGGTGAGCAATTAAATAATTTACCTTGATCCAATGTTCTAAAAGCCACACTAGCTATTGAATTGGTTGAGGCATTGGTTCAGTGTAACGGTTAGACCATGGTTGGACGGACAAGTAATAAATTAATATATTTTGAATAATATATGCTTAAAATAAAAAAGAAATAATCATAAAAATGATTATTAAATCCGAAGAAAAGTAATACCTCCTTCAGTCCTTATTGTAGGATGCTTTCAACTATTTTACACATCTTAAGAAAAGTTAGTTTTTTTTTTCTTGATATCATAAAAAAATGATGTGTACTTTTTTTACCCTTAGCTTTAAATCATGATACAAATACATTAAATACCTTCATGCTAATCAAGAAAGGGTAAAATTTAAAAAAATGGTTTAATTATTGCAATGTGCCCTACATTTTGAACCAAAAATTACGTATAGAAGGTGTCCTACAAATAGGACTGGAGGGAGATATAATAAGAAAATAATATTCATTAGTGGTACATCATAGTCTTCATTGAAAATGTATTTATTTATTTCATAATTTATAATTTTAGAATACATAGACGCACATGCTATTTCTTGCTTGTTTGTCCAATATTCATTATTTCTTAATGCTTATCAGGCACAAATATGCATAAATCATAGCTTAAAGACATGAATTAAATTTAAAACAAAATTGAAAAAATATGCGACCAGTTCTACTGGTTTTGACTAGTTCTTAGTTGTTTCATTGGTTTTTGGCCAATTCTTTCCTCCCCTAGTTTTCTCTCATTACCAGACAGAACATGGGGCTAGTTCCTGGTTCAACTAGTCGAATTGGCCTCCGGTCTGATTTGCAGAACACGACCTTGGCCCTTAGCCAGCTGAATTTTCTTCAGAGGAGACCCTACCATAGTCAAACAAGCAGCAAGAAAATCTTATAATAATCGCTGCAAAGGTGAACAGTATATCTAAAGAGTGTGTTGTTGATATAGCATATTGGCATAGTGTGATCCATGTACCTAATCCTCCTTAGTGGAATAAGGCTTCTTGTTGTAATTGCTGCAAAAGTCCTCCATACAAATGCACAGCCATTTCTTTATAAAAATTCATCTTAAAAGGAGACCTTTAGGTGTGTTATAGTTGTTATTGCTTTTATGATCTCTAAATAAGAGTCCTTTAAGATGTTAATAGCTCAGCCAACAATAGGAACTGTACTGGATTATAATTATTTGCCTGTATCAGAAGCTATGGAAGATCAGCTTCTTGCATATAAAATTGAGTTGGTGTATAATCACTAAAACGGTCCTTGCCAATCTCCTATATAGGCATGTTATTAATGTTAAACCACTTTAACCAGTGAAGTTTTGATTTTCAAGCAGACAAAGCTAAACTTAAGTTTCAGACTGCTGTTTATAATTTTCTGTTGTCCATATGCTCGCAAAGGGCATATTTAAGTCTGATCTCTTTCTTAAAATTTTGTGTTGATACTTAAGATTTCTAGAATATAAACTCCAAGAGTCTAGAAAATATAAATTGCTAATCCTTTTGACACTTCCTGTTACATTGTAACTCATCCTAAATTTCTCAACAGTCTGAAAAAGATTTTAGGGTAAACATGTTACTGCTTTTGAGACTGAGGTAATGTGGGAGATATCCCCCCATTTCTTGCACATTGGTGCACTAAACTCCCACATGTTAGGCACCAGGTCAAGTATAGAAAGCAACATTTATTGGAATGGTGATATTTTTGGAATTGGAATACGAAGAGATTGATACGTAATTTAATTGGACCCTCTATTTAAATTTCTCACCTTGTAACTCACATATTCTTTTCAGCGTCATCAATTAGTATTCTATTCCTGTTATTTTCTTTTATGTTTCGTTTTTTTTTAAATTGTAATATGTTTTTCTTTTTGTCATCACTGTATCATGGAAGATATTTATGCTCATAGCATCTTTTTCTGCCTGTTGTGAAATTCTTTAATTTTATGGCAATCATATCTTTATGAGTTTATGACATTATAGATTATAGGTGTTGCATTGACCCTTTAATGTTCTGTTGCTTCAGGAAGCAGACACTGAAAAGATATTTTACGGATTGGATGATATTGAGGGGCAAAGCGATATCATCATTGTATGTATCTTTATTCCTGTGAAGAAATTATTCAGAAGGCAAAGTTTTGTTGTATTTTTAGTGTATAACTTAAGTAATATAGGTTGAAGGTGAAATGGACAAACTTGCAATGGAAGAAGCTGGCTTTCGCAATTGTGTGAGTGTTCCTGATGGTGCACCTGCAATGGTCTCCTCAAAGGAGTTGCCACCTGAGGAGAAGGTTTGTGTGATTTAGTTATTAAGTATGTGTGTGTATTGGTACAACTTGGAAGCTATCCTCTGCTGCTCTGCGTATTTGATGTATGCATTTTAACTTCTAGAAACGATTTGCTCCAAGATGAATTGTGCTACTGACTTTGATTGAGGGAATATTATAGCTGCATACAATAAACAGTCTCCCTCTAGTGGGAGTTCAAGCAAATCAATCAGCCTTGATCCCTCCTAACCAATCAAATGTTGAGTTTGATGGTGAAAGTGAGATTCAAAGATGGGGGAAAATATTTGTCATTTACTGTATGAAATCTGTACAAATGGAAGTCGAATATATATCCATACCCATAAAGGAGCGACATATTTGTGGGAAATTTTTTCTAGATATGTCAAAACGGCTTTAACCAAAGTCAGACTTTCCAACTTATCTTTTCAAGTCGATGATGTTCTCACTAGCCTTATCTTTTCTAGATATGTCAAAACGGCTTTAACCAAAGTCAGATTTGAAGAACTTAGAGTCATGCTTGTTAGGTTAGTTGGTCATCCAAGAGGGGGTGAATTGGTTGTAGCGACATATTTGTGGGAAATTTTTTCTAGATATGTCAAAACGGCTTTAACCAAAGTCAGACTTTCCAACTTATCTTTTCAAGTCGATGATGTTCTCACTAGCCTTATCTTTTCTAGATATGTCAAAACGGCTTTAACCAAAGTCAGATTTGAAGAACTTAGAGTCATGCTTGTTAGGTTAGTTGGTCATCCAAGAGGGGGTGAATTGGTTGTTTTTATATTTTCACCTTTGTAAGAATAAAGGCAATCCAACACTAACGAACACAAAACAAGGACGAATAGAAGGGGTTGGTGCAAAAGTGAAAGAGGAAAAAAATGAACAAGTGCATGCACAGGAATTTATCCTTATTTAGCCTCAACAAACAGGGCTTATGTTCAATCTTCAAGAACTTCACAAGATTTTCCACTGTTCTCACAAGTTTTAATATGGGCACTTGTGAAGCTACAATACAACATAAGGGATACTGTTATATAATTTAGATTGGAACCAAAAAGAGAGGGGGAAAAGAGAGAGAGCAATTGATAGAATTTGTAATTAACAACCCTGTAATTACATATGTATATTTATATTTATATTTATAGGCATCCTGTTCTTAATGATATCCTAATCTATCCTAATCCTCCTAATATAATTTGAACAATTTGGAGGATGGATTCTGACAAATTTAGTGAAAAAATACTCTTTATTATTTCACTATTGCCATTACAAGAGCTGGCTATGAGATTTATAAGAGTATATCAACATAGAGTAATAAATGCTATCTTAACCTCTAACTACTGACTAATCTATCTATTAAAGAAATAAAATAAATTTTCACAATTTAACTACACATTTTAAAATTTCCCCTCAAGCTGGGGAGTGGATGTCATCCATTCCTAACTTGGATGTTAATGTTTGAAAATGTTCACTTGATAATCCCTTTGTGAGTATATCTGTCAATTGATCATAGAAAGTATGTAGGGAGTACAGATTAGACCACTTTCCAACTTCTCTTTGATAAGGTGTCGATCAATCCTAACATGCTTGGTCCTATGATGTTGTATAGGATTAAGAGCAATGTTGATAGCTGACTTGTTGTCACAATAAAGTCTCATTAGACCTTCCCATTTGATTCTTAAGTCTGATAAAATTATCTTGACCCACAACTCACAAATTCCAAGTACCATAGCTCTAAACTCAGCTTTAGTACTAGATCTAGATACTATGTCCTGCTTCTTACTCCCCCAAGTAATGAGATTTAAGCCAAGAAATGTACAATAACTTGATGTAGATCTTTTATGATCCATATCCCCTTCATGATCTGCATTTGTGTATGCTTCAATAGTCAATCTTTTCCCTCCCTTGAGCAGAATGCCTTTTCTTGGAGTGCCCTTCAAATACTCAAGTATTTGATAAACTGCTTGTGGCTGAGGTTCTTTAGGATCATGCATAAATTGACTTACCACGCTCACAGCATAGGCAATGTCTGGCGTAGTGTGAGCTAGATAAATCAATTTTTCAACAAGACTTTGATCGGATTCCTTATTGATAGAAGGCTATGGAGGATGAGGTTTGCTGGGCTTATGACTTTTCTTCGGCTTGCCAGGACGTTTTCCTTCCTTACAAAGTCTGTGATTCTATTCAATTGGAGTGTTCTTAGGTTTGCACCCTAATTTTCCTGTTTTAGTGAGAAGGTCAAGCATATCTTTATGTTGGGATATGAAGATGCCATGCTTAGAATGAGCCACTTCAATGCTCAAGAAATATTTCAACCTCCCTAAATCTTTCATTTGAAATTCTTTTATCTGTTGATTTCGTAGAGACTGAATTCCTTCCAAATCACTCCCTCTTACTATGATATAATCAACATAAACAAGTAAAATTGTTACTCCCCTTGAAGAAGAATGCTTGACACTGGTAGTATTTGAGCCTTTTAAACTTTAGCAAACCTTCTAAACCATGCTCTAGGTGACTTCTTCAATTCACAAAAGGACTTCTTTAGTTTACATACCTTTTTGGATTACCAGGATCCTTAAAGCAAGGTGGCAGCTCCATGCAGACTTCCTCGGTCAACATTAAAAAGTGCATCTTTAGTATCAAGCTCTAATAGAACCCATTCAATCAAAGTTTGCTGCAAGGGACAAGGAGATCTTTATAGTATTAAACTTTGTAAAGGGTGCAAAGGTCTCTTGATAGTTAATACCATTTACTCAGGTAAATCTTCTTGCTACAAGTCTAGCTTTATATTTATTAGTATTTCCTTGTGAAAACCAGCTTACAGCCAACCTTCGATTTCCCTTGAGGTAGATTGGTTATCTCCTCAGTTTGATTCTTTTCTAGATCCTGTTGTCCTTCTTGCTTTTATACACCTTCACACCAATTCAGTCTTATTCATAGTGATGTTTGTGGACCATCTTGCCTCTCAAATATAAATGAGTTTCATTGGATTGTCATATTCATTAATGATCACTCATTACTAACATGGGTCTAACCAAATGTGAAGTTCTTACAATTTTCTAGCAATTTTACTGCATGATTCAAACTCAATTCCACGCTAAAATTCAAACTCTACTCACTTACAATGCCAAAGAATATCTTAGTTCAACCTTTAAAAATTATCTCACCTCATGGTATTTATCGTCAAACATCTTGCCCCTAAACACCTTAGCAAAATCTTTGAGGTTTGAATAGTAGAATCGCCATAACCTTGATATCACTTGATCCCTCTCACTTGGCTCAAATCTTCATAAAACTTTTTGAGGTGATTGCTGTTCTCCTCTTTGTTTATCTTATTAATCGATACCCCTCCAAGACACTTGGTTTCAAAACACCTTATTAGGTTCTACTTGTGCATTATTGTTATGTGTTGATTTGATAATACTGATATGGGACCTTTTTCTGTTAGTATGGATAATAGTTTGTAGTAGTAAAAAACAGAATGGCATGTTAATAATAAGTGAGGGAATATTAGGTTATTATAAATACCCAAATGTATTGGGATTGAACGGTCTTTTGGTGAATACTTTCTTCTCAAATATTTCTCATAACAATTATCCTGCCTCGTAACTTCTCAACTCCTTACCTCTAAAGGTCTTTGGGTGCATTGCCTTTGCTCATATTCCTCATACCTCCAAACTGGATGCTGGAGCCTTGAAATGTGTTTTCTTGGATTATTCTCATGCACAAAAGGGGTACAAATATTGCCACCCTCCTCATAAATATCTTTTTTCAAATGATGTTACCTTTATTGAACACCACACATATTATCAGAAGCTGCCCATTCATGGGGACATTGACACTACTATAGAGGAATGGCCACTGTCAAGTGCCTGCCCAACATAAGCAACACAGCCAAAGGCTTCCTATCTTCAACCCTCTTACTTCCAACCATTCAACAAAGCTGAAAACAGATCTGCACCACATGAAAACCAACCTGAAAATCAACATAACACCTCTCCAACTCAACCTGAACAGTCTCAAACTCATGACGAACAGGTTACAAAATTACTAGAACGCCTCAAGTCCTATCCAGAATGATATAACAGAGTTGCCAGCTGCTGTCCAGCCCTTGGTAGCAAATTCAGAACAGCCTGCCAACACCGAAGGATCTACAACATCATGCCAATCTTCCAATCCAGCCTCAAATCCTCAATTTAATGATCTTGGATGGCCTATCACATTGAGAAAGGGGGTAAGTGATATGGTAGAAAGAGAAGGGAAGAATAGAGCTAGGTAAAAGAAAGAAAGAGAGAATGGAGGAGAATTCCTGAATAACACTTTGATTCATTGAGAGAATCAATACACACCACTTATTCGGACTTAGGGGCTATATATACTGAAGCTAAACTCTAATAATAGCAACTAATCAATATATCCCCCCGCAACAGATAACTAACTCTTATTTATATAATATTTATATATCAATACTCTCCTCCCCAAAACAAGAGAAAATTGTGGAAATTGTCTTTGAAAATTATATTGAGACAGCAAAGTAGCCTCTTCATCTGCAAGCTTCTCCATTGAACCAATATTCCTGTGATAATTCTGCCTTGCTTCCATCCAACCCTTTTATTTGATATTTTCTCTACCATCCCTATCACCTTGCACAACCCAACATGAGTAATCCAATTTCAAAGCTCCTTTATGCCTATTAAAGGAAAATGGACACAGCTTTTGCTTTTGAAAATGACCCCTATATGACAACTGTGGCTTTGACTTTTCAGCCTGAAAATTGCCCAGCACTTGAACCCAAATGAAAGGGCAGAACTTTTGAGGAAAGAAAAGACAAATATTTTGAACCTTGTTCTTTGCTGCTTTTTTTGGGTTCAACTTTTTTGGGATTTTCCAGTTAGTTTTTGAAGGAGAGGCTTTTGCACTCGAAGAAACAGGGAATAGGACCAGTTTTCAAATAAAAAGAATGAATTTCAAGGGAAAGGCTGTTTTAATCCACAACATGTTGGGAC